TCCCAGGCCTCTGGTAGAGGACCCGAGATTGAGGAAGACACGTACCACCCATAGGGGTGAGAGGGGAATTTTTTCAATAAAATACACACACATACATACACATACATAAACACAAATACACATGCATATGTGCACACATCTGTCCATGCCTTGGGAAAGGACTCTCAAAATTTGCCACCTGCACCTACCAAAGTGCACAACATTAAAGTATTGAAGACAGTTTCACAGTGTGGGGTCATTCCTCAAAAATATGGCAACATATCAGAAGAAAAGTAAAGCTTTCCCCTCCCATCCCAGGATATAGCTTTCTTACTTATTTCCACTTTCTCCCAAGAGAGGTACTACTGTGATCTAAGGAATTTAGGCAGTCCTGTGACAAGAAAATCATTACATTCATTAATTCCATGGAACCAAGGGAATCAGTTACACTGCAAGAACTGGTTTAGCATAGTGACTAAGAAACTAAATAGAAGATAATTAAATTTCACTTGAAACCTACATCTGCCACGAACCTCCTATGGTAGGCCACAACTGTTTTATCCTTAGTCTCATTATTTGCAATTTGATAATAATGCCAACTTTCAGTTTTTAAGATGCAAAATGTTTATTATTTTCAGAAGAATTCTGATTTTTTTAAAACATAGTTTTCTGTTTCCTCCATAAAGAAGAACTAATGGGAATGTTTACCCAGTGGCAAAGGACTTAGGATGAAACAAAGCTTCAATCTAACACAAAATTAAAAATAGTAAAATCTCATGAGAGACCATTTGAACACTGAACATAGTACAATTACTATATTAAATCCCTTTTCTATTCTGCCATACTCAGTTTTAAATGCAATAGTTACCCATATAAAAGGGACACTGCATTAGACGGAAGCATACCAAAAGAGCACAAGACACACAATTGATATATAGTGGTTTGTACTTTTGGATACTATTCTCAAGTAAAAGATAAAATTAATTAAAATTTACTTATAGATACATACTACATAGTCCAGGAGACTGAGATCCATTCAAAGCAGAAGATGAAAACACCTCTGATTCAGTAATCTTTGAATAATATGTCATACTCTGAGAAACAACCACATACCTTTTTAATGAGATCACCACTGAAGAATAAGGATCTAGAGTGCAGCAACCTATAATCGCTTGTAAATACAAAATATTTTATTAAATAATTTGAAATAATCCCTAAGTAATAATTCTCATGGTTATACATTAACAAAGCACATTTGAAAGTAGTTACTGTATTATATAATGTGATAAGTAATATATGATAGTTGGGTGAGAGTCTTCTTTTAAAGATACAGTGAACTGGAGTATTACTGTTCAGAAATATAAATTACAGTAATTCTTACAGGAAACCCAAGTGATAACAATGCAGTGGTCATGTATGGATTATGAAAAGGAATTCAAGGATAAAATAATGTGCAAGGCAGAGTGTAAGAGAGACAGAAATTGTAGGTGGAGTTTTTGAAATAACAACAGCAAATCTGCACAATTCCAGAAATAATATTTTCATTTCAGATGTTTGGTTGCTGAAGGAGCATTACTGCTATTGCACATATAAATCACAAAACTCTGCTGGTCTGCACTTGTTTTTCCTGCAAAAACCACAGAAGAAATCTGAACAAACTGAGATTTTTTTGCCATCACAATTTCACAATAATGTCTTTATTCTCATACTTACTAGGCAGTTTATGAATAGATGTAATACACTGGAGTCACTACAGAATAGCAGTGTAACAATTAAGCCACAAGCAGATGCTGCAATTCCCAACACAGTTACACATGATTAAATATCACTGAAGTCAATGGGAGTGTTGGTATGAGCACCAAACAGTTTCACCACTACCTCAAATCTTGTACTAAATATATAAAACCCTACTAGAAGAAATATATAGTCACAGGTTAATGTCACAAACTGCTCTGTCCCACCGGATCAGCATGTGCTAGATTATTTATGCTATGATTCTATGCAGTATTTGATCTTGTGTTCAATACCTCTGCAAATCTTTGTAATTAATTATACCTATGGGGTTCTTGAGCAAAAGGTTCTTGTATGTGCAATTTTGTACTATCCTACCTCTTTTCTAAAGAAATGTCAAACACTAGGAGCCCAACTCTATTACTCTTACTGTAGTTTAGAGCAATGTTCATTCTTAGCAAATGTGTCCTCTGACTTTGCTACTTCATCTTCCAGACCTTTTACCATTCACAGTATATAGCAATCAACCCAAGCTGTATTTTTGCTTTTTTAAAATGGCATTTAAAATTTGCATGTGTGAACATACATCTTATCATAATAGGCCATTCAGATAAATAGTTGAAGATGCCACTGTGAACCTGATCTGTTTAGGTACCCACCTTATTTCTCTAAGCAGCTCTATAATGGTCCACTTCCAATCAAATTTTATAAGCTGCGTATACTCCAAAAAATAATTTCAAAAATTATTTTGTGGACCCAAAATATTATGCTACAAATACCTGTTTGTTAAGTACCAACTAGGTTCAGCTCTAATAAGTACAAAAAACTCCAGTTTTTCCCTCCATACAGCAATTTTTATAGGAAGAGCCAATTAAAATAATGGATAAGGTTTGAATTTCTTTCTATATTTTTATCTGATGGTTTTCCTAATAGTCAGCCTGGATTACCTCCACATGGCCTGCAACAACCACCTATTTGCATAAAGAGGAGCCTGAACATAAGCCTAGAAAACTACATTGATGAAGATCTAAAAACAATTTTTACAGGCCAAATTTCTTTTACAAGAAACAAAATGCATTATTTGCAGCACAGTGCACTGAATGGATATTTCTGGAAACCTCCTAGCCTCCTAAGAGTTCATAACAGAGCTTGTCCTCATGTCAGAGTTGGAGTTATCAAGGTCTGTCATCCAACATTCAGATTTGTTATAAGATGCCAAACCCAGCTAGAAGAGCAGCAGCAGAAAGACCTATAACAATGCCTTTAGTCCTTCTTCCACTGCTACTGTTTGGTGGAGGAGGCCCACTGTCAATGCTGCCACCACTGCCTTCCTTTAGGCAATATGGAGGGGCCCAACCAGAGTTACAATGACAATGTTTATGAGAGTTGCATATTCCTCTGTTGTGGCACTTGGTTTGATTACAATCATAGTTCAGGAGGGAGACCTTGATACAATCACCATTAATGCATATCATGCCGATGCCACACTGTGTGCCATCTCTCACTGCTCCAATATCAGTTACACCAATTCCACTTGGAGAATCTGTACCCCAGCACAAATGGTTGCTAAGAGGAGTTTGAATTATGGTGTTCTGCTCATTCAAATTAGGCACTTCGCCAATGTTTACACACTGGACTCTGCCACACAAGACATTATTGTTCTCACACTTCTTATACATATTACCAGGAATAATGCCACAATTGCCAAAACGATCACCTCGAGTATTTATTTCTTTGAAGCAGTCCAGTGGGGCAACCAATGCTTCCTTGCCAAAGATAACTTTGCATTGCTCATTGTGAGTAGAGCATTTTCCATGATAGCAATAGGCCCCATCAGAGCATGGTGCTCCATCCTGTACATAAACATCTTCAGGACACCACTCTGAAACTCCGGTGCAGTATTCAGGAAGATCACACATGTTAGTCCTTTCTCTACAAACTGTTCCAGCTGGAAGAAGCTGACAGTCAGCACAGCATTTTCCAAAAGCACAAGTGGCTCCTGAACGCAACATACAGTTAGACTGGCAACACACATCTGATTCACAATGGAATTTTGAACCACAGTCACACTGTTCTCCACTCTCTACCACCTTGTTGCCACAGTTTTTGAGGTCATACAATTTCTCATGTTCCGGTGGAATTAACAGACATTGTTTTCTACTATTATCCATCAGCTTAGAATAACTGGTATAACTGCAGTTACTGAACTTACTTGTGTTGCTTTGTAAGGGAGCCATAATACAAGAATGCTGATTACAGGTGCAGGATTTCTCATCATGCTGCATACCAAGGTTATGGCCCAGCTGATGAGCAAAAGTTATAGTGAAGGAGAATAAACTAGAAGTAATAAATGCCTCGACAGCAGATGCCCAGTTCGGATCACACACAGATCCAACAAATGATAATCCAAACTTAATCCCAAAATGCTTATAGACAAATAAGTGGCCAACATCATGCCTTAAATGCTGGACAAGTATCGTTTTCCTCCATGTATTGAAAGTGTCAAGCAATTCATCTATGCTTTTAGCTATTGCAATGAGGTTTTTTTGTGACCATATTTCTAATCCAACCACTACCAGATGAATCCCAAGAGGTTTATAGAGCGAATCTGCAATGTGAACAGCATCCAGGACTTGTCTAGCAGTGAAAGTTTCATTTTTGCCAAATTGGACATATCGTTCATGTTCTACTACAACTGCAATCTTCATGTATCTGGGGTAAGTTTGCCATAGTCCTCCCAAAGTACTTTTGCTTATTATGTTTTCTCTGTTCTGGATCATGGCCTCCTGGTGATTTTTGTCTTCTTCCATTACTCCACACCTCATTTGGACTTCATTCCCCTTCTCTTCCAATCTGTAGACCACATGCTGAAAACTAACAGATGCCTGCACAGGTTCAATTTCGTAGAGCTTATTACCCACTTGCAGAAAGCCTCTGAGTCCTCCTGAGCAGCTGCTGAGGGTGACTAGGGAGGATGGCTCACCATGTACAAAGCCGTAATAAAAGCAGTCATTCTTGATGAAAGGGTAGTCCACCTCAATGTCCCCATCCTCATTGTAGGTAAAAACAGGGAAGTGTTTAGGAACAAAATCCCTCTTCTGCCTGAGATGTACCACATGGCCTTTCCCTTCTATCTCCATTAGATAAGTGAGGTCTTGGGGTTCCCGGCCTCGCCGGGGTGCCATCCTTCTTGGGATGATAACTTCATAAGAAATGAAGGGAAACCCCTGAGGTGGTGCCTGACTCCAAAATATCCCAGCGGCAAAAACAAGACAGAGGAACCCTCTCTTGGCACTGCCCAACCCCATTTCTCCCTTCAGGAACCAAGGGAGGGGAGGCCCTGCCTCACGTTGGAGAGTGACAGTGGTGGAAGCAGCAAGGTGGAAAGTAGAGGATAAGAATGAAACTTCGCCACCACCACTGTAGTGGGAGGAGGGCAGCCATGGAGTTCCCTTTGGTTGTACAGCAAACGGCTTTTTCCTGTATCTTCTGGAGGGCATTCCAGAACCTTCAGGAAAGCCCCTCCCTCTAGTTAGCAGGCATAGCCCAATAGGATTGATCTATTCATCAGGTAGGCTATTTTGCCATCCTAGACTACCTAGTCCCAAGCCACTGAAACAGAGGCAATGTTTAATTCTTTAAGCTTAACATTTGGGGGGGGAGGGGATGGCAGTTTTTAAGAAACCTCTTTATCTTCATGTATCTTGATTTTTTCCTTCATTCCCACTGGCCATCCCATTAGACACATCCTAGTTAGATACATCCTGGAGAACTACATTCAAGGGCAGAAACCATTCATTCATTTAGTCAGTCAGTCAGTCAATTTGTATAGCTGCCCATCTTAAACAAGTGACTCTGGGCGGCAAACAATCTTAACATCAATTAAACCAATTAAAAACACAATGCAAAAAGAAAAATTAAATGCATGCAGCAGCCAAGAAATATTATATATTGTTATTTTACTGGTTAAAGAAAAGGGAAGCAGTGATAAGCATGCTTAACTATCTACTGGCTAGTTTGGCAGGAGGAATGGTGAGCAGTAGCCAGGTAGCTCTGTCTAGGCTTAGGTGGTCTTTGTGTACCTCTGCAGCTTTCAGCAGCTATCCAGATGGTTCTACCATCTCTAACCAGTGAAGGCCAATCCTTTGATTACTGAAGCCTCCTACTTACTTGGGGCTTGCAATAGTGAAAAACAATCTTTACTTCCCAGGTTCTCCCTAACTGAGCTGTGTTGGGTCCTAATACATTCAGAGAGTTGGTGAGAGCTATGCCCTTATTCTCCATCCTGATTGTCAGGCATATGACAAATATCCTTTGATACAAAGCATTCTACTCCTATCTTTTAAGCCCTTAGGTATGCTTAAGCTGAGTTGTTTAACCATCTGCTCATATGGGGATGGGCAACCTTTAGGCAGAAAGATATTGCCCTGAACATTTTTTGGAGAGGTCAAGAAACTGGACAAAGAGGAGCAATCAGGTACAATGAGGGTATGTCACATATGTAAGCAGAGCAGGATGTTCTGTTATCTTTCCTGGATTTGGGACAAAAAAATTGGGGGAGGTCTTTTTAATTTAACATACAAAGTCTATTTTAGGACTGATACTGAATTTTCTGTTTCATACCTCCATTTTCAGCAGTTGGGATCAGAAGGAATCCCCCAAATAGGTTTGGGGATTATGGTCTATTTGGTAGACTGGTGAGGTGACTTAAATTACTGCATCCAGTGATAGAGCAATGCAATGCCCTTAGCCCTGAAGACAGCTAATAGAGGCATTATTTTAATTCAAGAACACTTATTTGTGGAATTCACACCCTTTTCCTGAGGTCTGTGTCATTTTTTAAAAATTACATTGAGAATTTTTTTTAAAAAAACTCCTAATTTGCATTTTATTTATTTCTATTTGGACAATTCTTACTACCATTAATTTTAGAAGCATTTGTGATACAGTTGAGTATTTTATTCTTATATACTATTTATTATTTTCATATACAGTCTTGTGAGGCTTAACACCTGAAAGACTGTACATGAATTCACTTATATGCTATGCTAAATATGCAGTATTATCACACCTCATATCCTAAAGGCATTGGTGTCTCACCTAGGAATGAACTGCATCTTTCTTTACCTGTTTCTCATCCTCATCATCTAGTCTCTGTCTCTAGAAAAAGGACTGGAGAATTTCCAGGTGATGTGGCTCGTCTGAATCCACAGGTTAGTGTTGATCTTTGGAACACCTAAGGATGGTTCTGGATCTGTATTCTGTTTACAACATTCTTGATGGAAAAAAGTCAATACAGAAACCTATTTATTTATTAAAATTTATTGGCTGCCCAACTCCAGTGGACTCTAGTACAACGTTAAAAAAAACAACAACATAAAGACAGCAAGGAACATTAAATCAACAGGTAGCCTAGGCTAAAATACTCTGCTAACAAAACTCACAAAACAAAAAAGGGGCCATTAAACATTGATCATCTATTGATCAAGTATTATGCTAAGAAGGCAAAAGAAAGAGGCCTGTAATTGCTGGCTCATCTGATGAAACTCCTGATGTCCTCCTATGGCCTGATGCCCCTGGCCCATGATCCACGTAAGGAACTACTAAGACTTCTGTTTTTCCAAGATATGATTAAGCTGATTACTTTTGGTGGTCTTGTTTCCCAGGATTCCTAAGACCTCCTGGGGCTGGTGATTAGAATCTTAAGAGGCTTTCCAGCCTAAACAGTTATACAGGTACTCACCTTGAGCAGCCTTATTGTTCATGAACTATGAGAGAAGAAAGAGGCTCAATAAAACATGAACTGACTAGCGGCAGTGGCAACCTATTTTAGATGGTTTGTACTCTCCCCAAAAGACTAAGCTCATCATTTGGGAGTACTCTTTAATTCTAAAATGTCAGTGTATTTGTAGATAACAACTGTAGCAAGGAGCTCTTTTGCACAAATATGCCTGATAGGCCAGCTACATCCCTTCCTGAGCCAGCCAGATTTGGCTATGGTTAAGCACACCTTTATAACATCTCATCTTGATTTTAGTGCAGTGCATTCCATGTGGGGCTGATCTTGAAAAATTTCCAGAAACTGCAATTGGTACAAATTGCAGAGGTTAAGCTGTCCAAACACAATGTAATGTGTGCTATCGACCTTTAAAGACCTAAACAACTTAGGGCTTATTGTTTCAGGAATTGCTTCTATTATGAACTACCTAGCTGCTAAAATCCTCAAGAGCAGTTCTTTCTTTTAAAGATGTTCCCATTATCAGAGGCCTGTCATTTTAGCACAAGGGAGAGGACCTTTCTCTGTATTGCTTCCTGGAGGTTGTTTTGTCTAGCTCTTGCTCTCTCAGGGGTTCAAAAATCTATAACAACTTTTATCTGGCTTTTAACTATTAATTTATTATTGATTTCATGTTAATTTTAATTTATTGTTCTGTTTTTATATTATTGATCGATTCATTTGACCAAAATATTGAGGCTGCTCAACTCCTTAACAACTCTGGGTGGCTTACAAATAAAAGCAATTCACAGTAAGAAAAAATACAACTGATCAGAAGAGCAGAATACCAACTGTAAGTCACCCACAAAGAATAGGGCTCAACAATCACCCTGTCCCCAAGGCCTGGGAGAACCACCAGATCTTCAACAATTTTCAAAACAACATAAGGATGGAGCCACATGAATTTCTGGGGGGAAATCATTCTAGAGAGCAGGTGCTGCAAGAGGGTAGGGACTCTTCCTGGGTCCCACAAGATGACATTGCATAATTGATGGATCCCAGAATACACCCACCCTGCTGGACCATACCAAGCAGGTAGAGACGACTGAAGATATGTGGTCCCTCAGATAGCCAGGCCCTAAGCCATGATGGGCTTTAAATATGATAACCAGCATCATGAATTGTACCCAACTGGTAACTAGTGCAACTCACAAAGCAGTGAAGTCACATGTGCACAACACAGTGCCACCATCCCTGTTTGCACTACTGCATTCTGAACCAGTATGAACCAGCTGTAGCTTCCATATGGTCTTCAAAGACAGCCCCATGTAGAACACTTTACAAGTGTCCAACCATAAAATCACCAGGGTGCAACTGACTGTCTGAGGAGCCTCTCAGTCCAGGAAAGGGTGCAACTGGTGCACTAGATGTACTTGTGCAAAGGCCCTCTTGGCCACAGCATCAACCTGCTCTACAAGCAGGATCTGAGAATCTAAGAGGACTCCCAGATTGCACACAAATATCAAATGGGGAAGTGCAACCCCACTGAGAGTCAACAATGGAATATTTTTGGATCCGGATGCAGCCACTCAGTCTTGTCAGGACTGAACCTGAGTCTGTCCTCCCCATGCAGACCCACACTGGGTTAATACTTCGACTGCATCACCTGGTCAACCTGAAGTCAAAACGTACAGCTGGATATCATCAGCATATTGATGATACCTGAACCCCAAACTCTTGGAAATTCTATGCTCTCTGGACCACCCCAAATCTCCCTAGCACCATGTTGGTCCAGAGGTAATTTAGCAATTTCTGGAAAAAAATTCCTCAGCTGTTTTGTCAAGCCTCCTGCAACCACTTTCAATTCAGGGAATTTACCTCTGGAAACCACTCAACTGCCAAATGGCATGGTTTAGAGGAGGTTCAGCATGTTCCAGAGAGGAAAGAGTTCTCTAGAGTGTTTTGTTCCTGAATAGCCAAATGCTGCACAACCCTACTGCTGATAGATTTGGAAAAGAGGCTAACATCAGCAACTTAAAAAGAAAAGTGGCTACAATGGACAGCATGCTGAATTGCAGGAGGATGAAATTCTTCATTTTCCACTATCGTGCCTGCATATTTCTTGCTAGTAACACCTCTTCCGAAACCCAAGCCTCAGCATCTATCTATACATTTAATATATGGAATCTCAACTTTTTCTGACACATTGAATAATGTGTTATCTTAAAACTATAAATACTAATACTATGCTCTTGTGCAATGTAACGTCAACCAGGACAAAGTAGTCCTTTAGTCTGACTCTTTCTTCCCAAGATTAGTGTTGATTCTATATCAACAAAGTTCATTCTAAGGGACAAGTTGGGCATTCTATTTCTTCTAAGATCAGGCAGTCACAGTACAGAAATCAGTGGCTTTTTTCACATCTTTTCAATTAGACGTTTGACAATGGCAGCTGTGAGAAATGATGATGTTTCTGCACTGTACTGCAAGTTTCTATGAATTTCTATTCTATCTTGTGTAGAACATTCCTCTCACCTTGTCTCTAGTGGACAATAATCTTATTCCTCAACATATAATATACTAGTCAGTGTTTTCTGGGAGTATTTTTCTTTGTCCTGTATTGCAACTTAAGTGTGCATATTTTTTTCAATGCTGTTTGCAATAACATAGCTTTAAGTAAACTAATTACACAATGTCTTTCATTCACTCACTCGCTTAATTTTAGCCTGCTGCAATCAATCGACTCTGAGCAAGTTACAACTGGGAATGTATGTGGCACAGAGGTTGCCTTATTTTTCCAACCTGGAAATCTATCATGGGAATCCTCCCTTTCTTTTGGAAGTGAGCAAGGGAGATGGAAACAACAGAATATGAATGAGGAGAGTGAAGAGCAGGGAAGAAAAAAAGTGGAGTACAGGAATGCAAAGTATTTAGGAGGGAGAGACAAACATCAGGAAAGTTTGGGGAAGAGTTCTGTAGGATAAGAAAGTATCAAATCGTTTAAAGACAAAGTAGGGTTGTCAAGCTCTTCCTCCTTTCTCATTACATTTCTTTTCAATGGTGGAAAATTTATCACCCTAAAATATGCAGTCCTATTTTTTTTTCTTTCTCTACAGCTCAGCAAGTATCAAACTCATT